GGAGTCTCCAAGCCACATTTTCATAAATACTGATTAAGAGTTAGAGACTTGGGCTAGGGATTTAGCTCAGTGGTTCCGCCACCTGCCCCACAAGGGCAAGGACCCGAGTTCGATCCCTAGTACCAAAAAGAAAAAAAAAAGTGCTTGCTTTGGCAGCACATATACAAGAGTATTGTTCTCAAGAGTTAGTGATTTGCCCAAGGGTCACAGCGGGACGTGATAGCTTTGAACTTGGGGTTCCAGCCTCCTAGACTTTGCTACTCAGTACACTTTACCAGAGGTGCCTCTGGAGCTGGGGTTTTTGCATTGGAAATGAGGTTAGCATTTCCTTCTCTACCTCCCTCTCTCATAGGCCTATTGTGAGGATAAAATGAGATAATGTAGGAGAAAGCACTTTTTAAAATGTAGAGCTGGCAGCATTGTTAGTGATTATGCAAATGTATGCAAATGAACACCCGTGGGTGTGGCTGTTCACTTGGGAGCCAGTGCTGGGATGTGTGTATCTAGAGGTGGTCCTAGGGCCGGGGATTTAGCTTAGTGGTTCTGCGGCCTACCTTGCAAGCACAAGGTCCTGAGTTCGATCCCTGGTAACAAAACAAAACAAAAAAAGAGGTGGGTCCAGAAGGAAACTGGGAGAATTTTGGTGGACAATGACCCCTGGGGACAGAGTTTTTGATTGTATAAGGGCTGAGTAAAGTACAAGGTTAAGGTAGCGGTGGGAATCCTTGATAGATGGACCACAGACAGTAGTAGAGGCTTTCCTTCCTGGGTTGTGTGCCCTCAGCTCCCAAGCCTCTGTCCATCAGGAATAACTGCTGTAGGAGAGGGAAGCCCTGGCTTGTGCCTGGGTCCTACAAGCAGGGTATACCCCTTTGTTCTGTGATTCCTAGTCTATTCTGGAAGGTACTGGCTGGCAGCCCCTTTCTAGCTCAGTTTGGCTGGGAAAGCCTTTTATGATGTCTAGCCTCTCTATTCCTCCTCCCTACTGAAGCCGGAGCTGGGGCTGAGCTTTAGTAAACCCGCCTTCCTTCTCATTAAGCAGCCCCCTGTTTCCACATGGAAACAGTACAGCAGGGAGGCTGCAAGGGAGATTTGAAGATAGCTCACTGGCAGAGGCTGCCGTGCCGCCTCTAACTCCTTTACTCTCCCTCCAATTTTTACCCCTTTCCCTTCTGCCCCATTTGCTGTCAGACATGTTTGCCAGGACTGCTGGGTCTTGAGGTGAGAGTTGGCCTATGAAACTTCCTGGGGCTGGCTATTTCAGGCTCCCCTATTCCAAAGCTGCTGAGACCCCAGGATTCTAAAGCTGCTCCTGTTCAGCAATGCCATTGTCCTCCCTCCCCGGCATCCCTGGGAATTGATGCTGATTTCAGCTTCTGGTCCCTGACTCATGCTCTTCTCCTCTCTGACTCATAAGGTGACCTTGGGTTTCTGAAGCCCCTCTCAGTGGGAATTCTAAAGGCTACCCTTTCACTCTAGTGTTGTTTTAGGTGGGGTGGGGCAGGGATAGGGAGAGGAAGGAATGGAATGTTTAATTTCTTTCTTTAAAATCACCATCTAAAGCCAGAGAGCCTTGTTTGCTTTGTTATTGCCTGGGCTGGACTTGCCAGACTTGTAAGGAGCTTCTCAGTCACTGACGCCAGAATTCATAAGAACCAAACAGGAGGGCATCATCCCTATAGGCAAAGCATCCAGTTAGTGAGATCCCTGGCTCTACTGGATCACTTTTGTCAGGGGAGATGCTTTGGCTGGGCCATGATGGGCGTAGTGACCTATCCACGATTCCCTCTGACGCGTGGCTGGGGAGAGAGGGGTTAACCCAGCTTTGTCCTGGTTGATGGATTCTGGAATCATAATCCATTAGCTCAGCCTGCATGGAGTGAGGCCAGGCAAAAGCATTCAGATTGGTCTTTGTTCTGTGCTGTTTGCCATCCCTGCCAGGGACAGAGGGGCTGTATACATGTTCCCTCCTTCTCTGTCTTGACCAAGAGACAATGAAAGAATCCTGGGGGCTATGTTGTTCTCAAAGCCCTCTTTCTAGGAGAAATAAGCAGTTTCAGCTCTCAGTTATTCATATATGAAAGAAATCATCCCAAAAACATCACCCCAGGGGCTTATGCTTACCTAATTCTGGTTGGCCCAGGCTGGCAGTCAGTTTAAATAAGAGTTTGCAGAAAATCTTGTCCAAAGGGGGTGGGGGGCAGTGTTGAGAGATCAGATGGTAGGTGGGAGGAGTGGAGTCAGGAAAGTCTGGGGTTAAAGGTTGGGGGTAGATACGCTTAATACTGGCAGTGGCCATAGCCCAAGATGAATAACATTAACTGCTATTATTATTAACTTTAGAATTATTAACAACTTATGGAAGACTGAGACTGTTGCTGTAAAATACTCCCTATTAGAAGGTTCCATGACAAGGTAGCAGTGTCTAAGCAGGATGTCTTATCCACACCTTGCAGGCTGCGCTACATGGTGAAGCAGTTGGAGAATGGGGAGATAAACATTGAGGAGCTGAAGAAAAACCTAGAGTACACAGCTTCTCTGCTGGAGGCTGTCTACATCGATGAGACACGGTGAGGGAGACCTACAAACAGAAGAAGAAAGATATCAGATTGGCACAGTGTTCAGAGAGAGGAAGCAGGATGGAAAGCCAGAGGCTGGGGGCAGTGCCAAAGAGAGTCGAGAGAGATGGTGGGGTAGATAGAAAGAGAAGAAGAAATGGAGATGTAGAGATAGAGACAAATAGGTGATAAGAAAGAGGGTGGGAGAGCACTTTCCTAGTATTTGTGGGTCCCTGGGTTCAATCCCTAGCACCAGAAAATGAGAGGGAAAATGGGAGGGAGGAAGAGAGAGAAGGAAAGATTGGGTAGGGCTTCAGAGTTGGAAGAGTTGGCCTTCAAGCTCATGTAGGCCTCCCCCGCCCTGTGTGGAATACCTCCCAGACCTGTGCTGCCCTGTATGGGAGCCACCAGACACATGGCTCTTGAGCGCTGGAAATGTGGTGAGGATGGGTTAAATTGTTTAAGTACATTATATGCTGGATTCCAAAGTCTTAGAAAAAAGAATGTAAAATATGTCATGAATATATTTTATATTGATTTACATTGAAACAATATTTTGGAGGCATTAGCTTAAATAAAATTTATAAAACAAATTTCACATTTTTGAACTTTTTTTTACCTTTCTTAATGTAGCTACTAGAAAATTTAAAATTTCATATATGTAGCTTACTAAGGGTAGTTATTTCTATTAGGCTGCTCTGCAGCATCCATACCAGATATTTCTTTGCCTGCGTGAACACTTCCATAGGGTGCTTACTGCCTCATATAAGTGAGCTGTTTCATTATTGGAGTTGTTAGATAGTGATACAGAAATACAAAGAAATAGCAAAAGAAAGGAGAAGGGAGGGTCTGCCGAGAGCTGGCATGAGAGTCACTAGGCAAGTGTGGATGTGGCTGGGTACAGGGCCCCGAGGCAGTGGAAGCACTTGGTGCCTGTCCTTTGTGACTCCCTGTCTGGGGCCTCAGCCAAATCTTGGACACGGAGGATGAGCTGCAGGAGCTTCGCTCAGATGCTGTGCCTTCGGAGGTGCGGGACTGGCTGGCCTCCACCTTCACCCAGCAAACCCGAGCCAAAGGCCGCCGAGCGGAGGAGAAGCCCAAGTTCAGAAGCATCGTGCACGCTGTGCAGGCTGGGATCTTCGTGGAACGGTGAGGTTTGCCCACACTCAGCCTCCCTCTCCCTCTCCCTCTCCTTCTCCCTCTCCCTGTGCCCCTGTTTCCCTGACACCCTAGTCTTTCATGATCCCACATGCCTGTGGCTCATCCCGGTTGCTCCATTTGGACAGATCCTGCTTCCTAGGACTTTACACTTGGCTTCTTTACATTCCTCTCTCTCAGGATGTTCCGGAGAACATATACCTCTGTGGGCCCCACCTATTCCACTGCAGTCCACAACTGTCTCAAGGTGATCCTTGGATTTTTGGAAAAGAGGTGAAATTTGGGGTTGGAATAGCCATTGGGACATCCAGATTCTGTTTATGGTGCGAGTTTTACCTTCTCTTTTAACTGTGTTCTTGTGTTCCTCAAGACAATGTTTGCCCACTCCCAGGGCAGACCCCTGTCTTCTTATCTCTCCCATACTGAGAGATACCTGGGCAGAAAGAGGCCTACTTCACCACCTCTTTGTTTTCCTGTTTCCCCAGTCTCTGTAATCATGGGAAAGTCCTTGAAATCTAACTTCAGCTCCCAAAGGGAGCTCCCCTCCCTAGTCCATTGTTTCTCCACAGAACCTGGATCTCTGGTGCTTTGATGTCTTTTCCTTGAACCGGGCCGCAGATGACCACGCCCTGAAGACCATTGTTTTTGAGTTGCTGACTCGACATAACCTCATCAGCCGATTCAAGGTTGGGCAGCATCCTACCTCTGCCTCCAGGAAGGAGACTTCACTTCTCTCATTCCTGTTCTAAAAGATTCCCAACATGTAGATTCCATGGGCCCCCTCAGTCAGTCTCAGCGTTCACAGTCTTCCCCTCATTTACCCCAGTCCAGCCTTCCTGGTGCTGGTTGCAGTCCCAGCCTCTGACCTTACTGATTAGGGAAGGATTCTAGTACAAATATGTTTAGCTTGGGATTCTACTCCTCCCCTTTGACTCCCTTGACCTGACTTGTCCTCTGCAGCTGACCTCCGTCCACCTCCTCTTTCCACTCCCCTTTGTGGACTCTGGAGGCCTAGAGTCCAGGTGCTGTCAGCCAGTGCCCTTCGGGACTAGAGTCTCCACTTGTTTCCTAACACAGATAAGAGGGACAAAATTGATCACTCCCTTGCCTTTGCCCCAGCTCTTGGCAGGGCTGGGCTGGGGCTGTGTGTAGGAGGAGGGTGTGTGAGCTCCATTTGCTCCTCAGCTTGGCTGCCCAGGAAGAGCACTCTGGGTCGAGGCTTCTCCAGATCCTGCACTAGGAGGGAGCCTCTTTTGGGAGGAAATAAAGGCCAGGAAAAAACACTTCCACGTGGAAAAACTGCATTTAGAAGTGCAGGGGAAGGGGTTTAAGAGTTCAGTGGGTTGCTTGGTTGGCACTTGGGCAGGGCAGTGGACATTAGAGGTGAGTGAAACTCGTGTTTTTAGTGGCCACAAGAGAGAGGCAGTCAGGTGAAAGACTCTCTCCCAGCTGGGCTCTGGAAAGTTGTTCCAGCCACCTCTGCCTCATTCCACTGTGACAGACTACTCATCCACGCGAGTCTTTCCACGATATTTGACTACCTCCTTTTCCACCAATTCTGGAGAGAGTTTCCAAAACTTTCCAAAGGTGCTGAGCTGAGGTTTTCTTCACTGACTTTCTCAGGCCGGTCCTTCTGCTGTTTTGTTATCTTCCTCCCAGTACTGTCCTCCAGGACAGAGACTAGTAGGGTCCTCTTCCCACACTGGGGTCCCACACTGGTTCTCAGGAGTACTTCAAATGCCAGCTTCTCCCAAACTCCACCTTCTTACCTGGAAGGCTTGGGTTTGGCAGGTATGAGAGTAGCTGCCCTGGGCTGGCTCCTAGCAGTCAGAGAGAGGGGGTTGCTTATAGTTTCCCAGCTGGACTCACCCTTCTCTAGCTCCACATTCTCTTCCTGGGTACCCAGCCCCTCCCTGCTCCTCCCTTTCCCTTCCCTTCCCTCCAGGGATGCCATGGCAACGAAAAAGCAAGGGCAGTTGTCATGGAAACAGTCCTTTAAAATCCCTGAATTTGGGGCACAGCCCTCCAGGGGTAGGGATGGGGGATGTTAGGGTCTGATTAGTGGCACGTCTTCTATGTCTCTGTTACTCTGTAGCTCATCCCTACAGAAGCTTCCCCAAGTCTTGAACCTCAGTCTCTTTCCAGTCTCAGGAAGTCCAAGGACAGGTGACACCAGCCCTGACCTCTGGGAGCCTGGAGCCTTTTGAAGGAGGCAGAGATGCCCAAGTACATGTACAGACAAGGCAGAATTGAGAGAGGCTGGATAGAATTCTGGCTCCTGTGTGTGTGTGTGGTAGCACACGTATCAGTGTATGTGGAGGAGAGGTGGTCAGGGAAGGCTTCTCAGAGGAGTGGGTGATCCACTTCTGCCAAAAGGGGCCACACTCTAGGTCATCTTATTCTTTCCCCCCACTTCCAAGCCCTCTGCCCTTCTCTATGGTTTTGGATTTGGGGATGGGATGGGTTGGTTGGAATGTAGGAAGGAAGCTTTCCTTCCTTTCCTTAACAGTCTCCAGGGAAATAATAATTATAGCTACTCTTTGGAGAGTACTTGCTAAGTGCCTTGTTCTTATCTCATTAAATTCCACGTAGGTATTATTATCTTCATTCTACAATTAAGTATCTGAGGTGCAGGAAGGCATGTGACTTGCTCAAGGCCACATAGCCAGCAGCTGGCAGAGCTAGGATGTGAGCCCAGATCCACCTGTGCAGAGCCCATGCTTTGCCTGTGCCATGCTGCCTCCTACAGGACAATGGGATCGCTGATCTCAGCCCTGATCTCAGCCCTGTTCTTTCCACTCTGGCAGATGCTCCATATAGCTTGATTTCCTTCTGCCCACTGCAGATTCCCACTGTTTTTTTGATGTCTTTCCTGGAAGCCTTGGAGACAGGCTATGGGAAGTACAAGAATCCTTACCACAACCAGATCCATGCAGCTGATGTTACTCAGACAGTCCATTGCTTCCTGCTCCGCACAGGGATGGTGGTAGGTCCCCCCTGGGCTACTGTTCTGTGATTCAGTGTTCACAGCTTTGGAACTGGGACGTCTAGGCTATAGTCCCAGTTCCATTTAAAAAAAAATTCCCCCTCCCCTTTCCTCCCTTTTCCTTCTGTACTGGGGATTGAACGTAGGGCCTTTGCACCAAGCTACATCAGCAGCCCTTTTTAATATTTGAGACAGGATCTTGCTAAGTCACTAAGTTGTCCAGACTGGACTCGAACTTGAGATCTTCCTGCTTTAGCCCACTAGAGTGCTGGGATTACAGGTGTACACTATCATGCCTGGCTTTCCAGTTCCATTTTCCTCATTCTGGTTCTTCTTCTTTGGCATCTCAAAACCTTTAGAGTCAAATTGGATTTACTCACTCTAGAGAGATCCCAGGTGTGGCTAAAATTCAGGAGTAGTGCTGGGGACATGTCCTGGGATGCAGTGGGTTTGGTGTAGGTTGGGGTGGAGAATGGGCTCTCGACATTCCAGGAGCTGAGATCACCCCAGAGTTGGCCTTGAAGAATGAAAGAGGGGGTAAGTGGTTGAGCCTGTATGGGGAGTCTTCAGGCAGTGACTGGCAGGGCATCCGCCTTCTCTCATCCTGTCTCTCTCCCCTAGCACTGCCTGTCAGAGATTGAGGTCTTGGCCATCATCTTTGCCGCAGCCATCCATGACTATGAGCACACAGGCACGACCAACAGCTTCCACATCCAGACCAAGTGAGCGGTGGGGACATGGCAGGGGCAGGAGGGACCAGCCGGAGGTGGGGGAGGTTGTCAGAGCACCCCTTTCAGGGGGCTGGACCTGATGACCTTTGACACCGCAGGTCAGAATGTGCCATCCTATACAATGACCGTTCCGTGCTGGAAAATCACCACATCAGCTCTGTGTTCCGGATGATGCAGGACGACGAGATGAACATTTTCATCAACCTCACTAAAGATGAGTTTGTGTGAGCAGGAGCCAGCTCTTGGCATCCCCGAGAGACCCCTTATCATAGCCCTCTCTCTCACCTCCTGCACGCCCTGTCCAGCAGTGCTGAGAGCACCGATCGCTTCTCTCTTTCCATCCTTTCAGAGAGCTGCGAGCATTGGTCATCGAGATGGTGTTGGCCACAGACATGTCCTGCCATTTCCAGCAAGTGAAGTCCATGAAGACAGCCTTGCAGCAGCTAGAGAGGTGCTGGGGTGTTGGCAGGGTGTTGCTGGGGCCAGGCCAGAGGGAGGGGTGTGTGAATTGGGTGCGTACTGCGTAGCTGGTTGCCAGATCTTTCCGTGGGTGTGGAGACTGCTGGCTCCGGGCATCTGTGTGAGTGTATCCCTGTGGAAGTGGTGTGGTGTGTGTGAACGTGGCCTTGGGTTTATGTACAGTCTGGGCAGCTCATCAGTTGGGGAGCCCCGTGGGCTCAGAGTCTGAGATGGGGTCACTCAGTGCAACTTTAGGACAAGCTTACTCTGGAATATTGGGAAATTCATTCAGCTCTTCTGGACTTCAGTGTCCTTATTTGTGAAATAGTGAAAATGATATGCCTCCTTCCACAACTGCTTGCCAGTAGTTCCTACTCTAATAGGGTTATTGGAGAGTCACATGAGGTTAAAAAAGGACAGAACAAATGCCATAATTGCATCTAAGGCTTTGTAGAAGTAGGTGGGGCTATATAAATGTGTATAAGGGAGGACGGACTATGTTTGTGTGTAACCTGAACAATCTTTTTGTACTGTGTCTGTGCAGTGCCATGGCAGGGCATTGTTGGGGGTATAACAATAATAATGATTATTATTATAATCAGTATAATCAGTATTGCCACTATAATCTACTAAGCCCTTATTATGTGCTACTCTTCTAAATATTTATTTTGTTATATATCATTTAATTTCAGAATAATTCAATATGTGTTAGAGTTGTTATTTCTATTTTGGGGCTTAAGAAAATGAAATGTGGAAATTTTAAGTGACTTGTTCAGTGTCACACAGTTAGTGTATGGTAGGTGTGGGGGGATTCAAACCTGTGCCCTTTGATTCTCAGAGCCAGGGTGCTGCTACCTATGCTACCTACGTGTGTGTGTGTGTGTGTGTGTGTGTGTGTGTGTGTGTGTCCTGGGAGGGTGTTTGAAGTTATGTGAAAAGATGAAGTTAATGGATGTATGGGTCTGAGAGAGGGCGTGTGATGGAAGGTTAGAAGATGGCTCAGGTTTCCTCCTAAAAGATCAGTTTCCCTTTCCTTGCCACCTGCCCCAACCAGGATCGACAAGTCCAAGGCCCTGTCACTTCTCCTCCATGCTGCTGACATCAGCCATCCAACAAAGCAATGGTCGGTCCACAGCCGCTGGACAAAGGCCCTCATGGAGGAATTCTTCCGCCAGGTAGCGTGCATTTTTGCCCACCCCCTGCCCATGGGGGCCTTCTTGCCCCTTTTTCGCTGCAGGTTCCCCTCTGTTCCTACTCCATATCTTCATTCAGCTACCTTTTGCTTCTGACCTGACTCCAGGCCCACTGTAGGATAATAAGATCACAGGTTCGAGCCTGGCCTGGGCAACTCAGCAGCTTAGTGAGATCCTGTCTCAAAAAAAAAAAAAAAAAAAAAAGTTGGGGGGCTGCAGATGTAGCTCAGTGTGAAGTCCCTGGGCTTAATCCCCAGTACCACAACCAACCAACCCCACACACAAACAGAAAAACCACAAAACACAAACAAAAAACAAAAAACGTAAACAAATTTGTCCTCAAAGCTTAACTGTGCTTGTCCATAGCTGCATCCAATTACGTATCACTCATCTCCTGGTCAAAGGTGCAGAGACTCCTCTCCTTCCACAGCAACCCATTGATTGGTGGGTCTGAGGTGTCCTCTCTCTCCAGGGTGACAAGGAGGCAGAGCTTGGCCTGCCCTTTTCTCCGCTCTGCGATCGCACTTCCACTCTGGTGGCCCAGTCCCAGATTGGTGAGTGTCCTTTGCTACAGGGAGGAGAAGAATGGGGAGGGGGAAAGGATGCTGCCTGGGCCCTGGGCCAGGATTTCTCCAAGTTCCAAGCCCACAGGCCCCTTTTCCTGTAGAGGCAAGCCTGTGGTGGTAGAGTGTGGGGTCCTACACTGGGAGGCCGGGCTGCAATGGTGGCAGTTCACTGGGCTCACAAAGACTTCATCCATGGGTTACTTTCCTACCCATTCTACCTGCAGCCAGGGGTCGTGGCTGGGCCAGGTCTCTCCTCGTCTGGTCCCTGTTCCATGTAAGACATCTCCTCTGCAGGTTTCATTGACTTCATTGTGGAGCCCACATTCTCTGTGCTGACTGATGTGGCAGAGAAGAGTGTCCAGCCCCTGGCAGATGAGGACTCCAAGACCAAAAACCAGCCCAGGTGAGGTGGCAGAGTAGCCAGGTCTCCTGGTTCTGGGGAGGAATGTTGGACTCAGAGAGGACAGTCCTGGGGAAAAGGTACAGCTGTGGCAGGGGTGTTGGGCAGCAGGCTGCTCCAAACTTGGGAGCCCCTTTGCTGTTTGTCACAGTCAGAGTGGAAGGATGGGACCAGAAGGGCATGACTGCTCCCCACCACATTTTACAGGCATGGTGGCACACACCTGTAATCTCAGCACCGAGGCAGGAGGGTCATAAATTCCAGTTCAACTTAGTGAGACACTGTCTCAAAATAAAAAAATAAAAAGGGATGGGGATGTAGCTTAGTGGTAAAATTCCCCTGGGCACAGTCCCCAGTTCTACAAAACACAACCAACACACACATGGACACACACAGATGTACACATGCGTGTGCTCACACATGACCAACCCCTGAAAAACAACTCTGGGCTGGGGGTGTACCTCACAGGTAGAGTCTTTGCCTAGCACGTGCAAGGCTCTGGGGTCAATCGCCAACACTACAGAAACAATCCAAAAACCTCCTCTTTTCCCATTATAACACAATACACATTCTTTCTTTCCATTTTTTTTCCTTCTTTCCTTTCTTGTACTGCTGATTGAACCCACCACCTTCACACTGAGCTACATCCCTAGCTTTTCAAACTTTTTTATTTAAAAATTTTTTATTTTAAAATTTCACTGAGTTGCTTAGGCTGAGCTCGAGTTAGCAGTCCTCCTACTTCAGCCTCCCAGGGTGTGGATTAAAGGCACGTCACCACACCTGGCCATTTTAGTTGTCTTATTGCCTTTCAGATATACTTGTTTTTATTTTCCTTCTACCAGGAGAGAAGGTGTGGTGAGGGAGGGTGGAACAGGGAGGAGAGGGACAGGGACTTGGGGGTTACCTAGTAGCTGGAAAAGAGGAGGACTTGGTTTCCTAAATCTTCTGGTTTCCCGTGGTCTCTTCTTAGAGGGCTATGAAGCTTGTTCTGGAGTGGACTGGTCTCACCTCTGGAATGGGGGGTGGGTCCTGTTTCTAGCTTCCAGTGGCGCCAGCCTTCTCTAGATGTGGATGTGGGAGACCCCAACCCTGATGTGGTCAGCTTCCGCTCCACCTGGACCAAGTACATTCAGGAGAACAAACAGAAATGGAAGGAACGGGCTGCGAGTGGTGGGTGCCATTGGGGGGGCTGTGGACCTTGAGGGGGTGGCTACTAGAACAGTAGTGGGTTCCTTTTTTCTTAAGCCCCGGTGCAGGTCTTTGACCCCTAGAGTTGGGAATAGAGCCAGTTAGACTAAAGTTAGGTCACAGGAAAGCCTGACTAACCTAACGGTCTGGACTGTTCCAGAGCGGGGGCGGAGAGAGCACGGGACAGGCACAGGTTATCCTACACCCATTGTGGGATACAATGGGCTGGGTACATGGTGCCCTTGTAAATTTGGGTAACTTGGTGGTTCTGACTCTTCCCTCGGGTAGGGCTTGTGAGTTCCTGCAGGGTCAGAGAGGCTCTTCTAGTGGGGGTGGGTGGAATGGAGCTCAGCTCAGAGGAAGGGCAATAGACAAGAATCTCCTACTGCTCTTTACATACTCTGTGGTCCTGGGGAAAACACTCCATGGTCTGACGTCAGTTTCCCTTGTACCCCTCCCCAGGCATCACCAACCAGATGTCGATTGATGAGCTGTCCCCCTGTGAAGAAGAGGCCCCACCCGCCCCTGCGGAAGATGAACACAACCAGAATGGGAATCTGGACTAGCCCTGGGCTGGCCCAGGTGAGCAGGTTGTGGGGCAGCAGGGAGTGCTGCAGATAGATGTGAGGGTCTCTCCTGCCTTCTATCCAGGCAGAAAAGTGGAGGAAGTGAAGGCAAAGCACTGAGCTGGAGTGTGGGTGGGAAGCAGGGAAATCCTTTTCCCTCTTTGGTCCCACAGACCCTGCAAGAAGGAAGGATATACAGCAGCAGGCAAGGTGGCACCTTACTAGGCCTTGTGCCAGGAAAGTACACACAACTAGGGCACAAGGCTTAGGGGGCCCAGGTGAGTGTAACTTCCGTTTCAGCCCCGCTCATGCCCTTTGCCTGGCAGCTTCTGATGGGCATTTTTTATAACTGTATGTGGAGCTGAGTAGGGACCTGGCAGGACTTAGAGAAGGAAGGTCAGGCTGGAGATGACAACAAAGATCAGCTCTCTGAGATTCTCTCTCTTTCCCCAGGTCCTCACTGAGTCTGAAGTATTTGATGTCATTAGCACCATCCATCAGGACTGGCTCCCCCATCTGCTCCAAGGGAGCATGGAGGTCACGGAAGAGACAACCCACCCGAAGGCCAAATGCCAGAGATTGTGGGGTTGGGGGAAGGGCCCCTCCCCACTGACACCCATTGGGGTGCACTTTAATTTCCTGGCAGCAAGTCTGGGAAACTTCAGGCTCCCAATGGTCACTGTGCCCATCCCCCTGCCCCTGGACTCCCCTCCTGGCCTGATGGCTGCCTGGGAGAGGGCAGCTTCCTAAGGCTTCCCAGGGCCAAGGTGCCAGCCCCCGGGCCCTCCCCCCATCCTTTTTGCCTCCAAGTTTCTAAGCAATACATTTTGGGGGTTCCCTCAGCCCCCCACCCCAGATCTTTGCTGGCAGGTCTGGGTTCCCTTTCTCCTCCCCTGGGAAGGGCTGGAATTGGGTAGAAAGCTGGGGTTTTTAAAGCCCTATGTGTGGGGAGGGGAGGGGGTACCTTCAGGGCATGGCTCTTTTCTAGAATGGGGTAGGGGTGGGCATCCCCATTACCCCAGACTTGCACTGCTTCGGCCCCATCCCCAGCCTGACTCCCTGCCATCTTCTCTCTTTCCCATGCTGAAATGGAAGAGAGGAGCCTTTGGGACCAGGGTCTGAGCGGAGGCCTTTCCTGGGGTTCTAGAGAACTCGGGGCTGGTCTGGGCCCCTGGGGCTTGTCACCTGCTCTGGCTGTCTCAGCCCATTGCCTCTTTCTTCTCCTCTGGAGCTAGGAGGAGCTCCCATCCGACCAATGTCTGTAAAGTGCTTTGTAGTCTCTCCAGCCAAGCACCTTCAGGATGCATTTTATGAGCACAGGCAGGAGAGTCCAGCTGGGTTGGGGGAAGGGCCCCTCCCCACTGACCCTCCCGTGTATGGGGAGGGTAAGGTACAGTTGCATAACCCTGTGTTGCTAACAGAGAGGGTCCTTCCTCTCCCTCCGGTCTCCCAGAACTGGCTCAGCTGCTGGTACCAAGCGATCCCTCTCTGGGACAGCAGTGGGTGGAAGGCAGGTGTGGGAGGGGCTCAGGGCTCTGCTGTTGTGACCTCTGGAGAGAGCCCAGCCAGGCCTGGTGCCCCTTCCTCTCCTCAGGCTCCTCCTTGCTCCTACCTTGCCCTCAAAAGGCCAAAGTCCAGGTGACTGCCTCCTCCTCTCTTGTAAATACCAACCATGCATCTATACAGTGGGCCCTGTTCTTGTGAAGTTCATATCCATGGCCCCTTAGACCTGCCACCCCGAAACTTGTCCCCATCCCAGTGGGGCAGAGACGCATGTGACTCACTCCTGCCCTTGGTCTCCCAGGCCCTTCTGATATAGCCAGAGATCAATAAAGAAAGGAGACCAGGCTGGGCTGGCTGTGTCTGGTGTTCACTGAGGGAAGCTGATGGAGGATCTTGTCCACCGCCTTTTTTTTTTTTGGCACAGGGGATTGAACTCTCGTTTACTGTCTTTCTAAAGCTGATAAAATCCTGGTGAGGTGTACTCTTGTGTACAAGCTGAGGCCTCCTGAGAGGAGGTGCCAGTAGGTGCTAGACAGGAGTAGGGCCTCACACTTCCCCCAGGCTCTGCTTTTTTCTCTGTGCTCTGCTGCAGCTTCAGCAAGGAAGGTAGATGAAACTTGCCTTCTCTCTTTTCCTCTCTTCCTCCACTTGGGAAAAATTAGTCAGTGTCAGGAGTACCCTCGCTGTGGGACCAGAGGACATTTCACCTGTGCTTGGTTTTTGTCTTACCCTGGTCTCTCAGTACCTGGAACAAAGGGGAAGATGATCCTACTAGTTCCCAGCAAGGGCCTCTTCTCAACCTCTGTGCTCTGTCTGTTTTTGCTAATGGATTGGAATAAGGGGAGGTGGTCTCAAGGCTGGAGGAGGGAACATGACCCCCGCACCCCTTCACCATGGGCCAAGGGCCAGGGTGCACCTCCCTCTTTTGTCCAGCAGATGGCGCACATAGCATCGTCATAGCTGTAGTGCACGGGCTCTAGGGCTCCCAAGTCTTTAACAGCTGCAGGGCACCCCTGCCCTGTGGCTAGATCTTTCTTCAGCAAGAAGCGAAAACCTGGGGCCATCCTTCCTTCTTGGCACCCTGGAAGTCAGTCCTCCCACCTGCCTGCCCCTCCATCTCTTCCTGTAGCAAGTAAAGGCAAGGTCAGGGAAGACTCCCTTTTGGAGCTTCTGCCCAGCAATCCTATTTCCTCCTTCCTAGAGGCAGCTGGGCAGGAAGGGGCAGACAGGAGGGGATGCAGGAAGATTCTCCAAGCTTGGAAAGAAGGAAAGTGCCAAGGACCTAACACCAAATTTATCACTGTTTAAAAACAAGAGATTTTCCCCAAAAGTGAAGATGTAAGAAACTGATCCAGTGTACATGCATTCTCAAACTGCAGTTGCGATGCCAGGATGCTTCCTCCTCAGACCTGTTGTGGGGAAAGAACAGAAGGGGAAGGTGACTGCGTGGTCAGAGGCTCATTCGTGTGTCCCCGCCCAACCAGTGTTGGGTCAGTCTCCAACCCTTGCCAGCCTATGCTCAGGGAGTGAGGACTGTAAAATCAGAGCTCAGAGTCAGCTCATCCGACCTGCATCTCCAGGCAGGACTACTGCCCACTCATCCTGGGCAGGGGAGGACCTCCTTTTGGGTTCCAAATGTCCTTTACCAAATAAATCCGTGGCCTGCTCCTATCCCCTGTTCAGGAGCGAGAAGTCCTATATAAAGTCTAACTTCAGTCCTTCCTGCTGCAGCTTAATCCCATTTCTCTTGGTTTGCTTGTTAGGGAGGCAAGTCCTCTTACCATAAGAATATTTCAGTGGCAGAACTGGTCCTTTGTTTCTCTTTTCTGATTGCAAATATTAGCCCCTTGTCCTTATCTAAGTGCTCCCCGGCAGACCTGGTGGCCCAGCCCTGGGGTCTTACCGAGTTGGCTCCCTGGGAGTCCAGGGGAGGTATATGGATGGAGGGTTCCTCTGTGCTGGGCTCCTCACTGCTCCTCTCCTGAGTCTTAGGGGTGAATCCTGCAGATTCTAGGGAGGGAAGAGGAGGGAAGATGAGGTAGTAGGGAGAGGGCATTTATGAAAGCCTTGGAAAGAAGGGATTGCTGCTGCTTACCACACCCTATGCCCAGTGATCCCTGAGAGAGACCCACGTGGGAGCAAAGCTGCAGGAGCTACAGGGTTTTCTCTGATCACAGTTACTACTAGAGACTCACGACTTTTTTTTTTTTGGTACCGGGGATCGAACTTGGGTCCTTGCTCTTGCGAGGCAGGTGGCGGAACCACTGAGCTAGATCCCTGGCCCGAGACTCATGGCTTTTTATCTGCACTTAGACACTGAAAAAGAAAAGCCTCTAAAAACATGAAAAAAAATTGGGGTACAGTGTGTGGCTACACTTGACCTGAATTGATATGAAGCTACTTTTAGTCTTTACCCATTCAGTGAGACCATTCATTGGATTGTAAAAATATTAATGTTTGATTATTAGGGTGCTCTGATATATATATAGGATATATAGTATACTATAGGATATATATAAAATTTCATAAAATTAGACATTCTGAATTCTGCAACCCATCTGAGATAAGGGATTGTAGACATGGATTAACATCACTATCACCACAGATTTCATTTATTACATACTTTGTGTCAGTGCTCCTGAGCTAAGAACCAGACTCAACTTTTTTTTTGTTTTTTAGACCCATTTTAATATTCACAGACAACCCAATGAAATAAACACCCTCATTATCACATTATCATTTTATAAGCCTAGGTTAAGTTGTTCAAGGCCTCTCAGCTGGCTAAATGGCAAGTGGCAGAGTCGGGAACCTAGCCTGTGAGTGAGTGCTTTTCCCATAATGGTGGCTTCTCCCATACAGCTGCAATAGGGATCTCTGGGGTCCCAGCTGGGAGGGCTCAGTGTCCTACAGTAAGAAGAGGTGAAGGTTCAGATTCATGCAGGTATGTCCATATCCTTGAGCTGGCTTTTGGCTATTTCAAGACCTCTCCTAGGCCCAACACTACCCCCTCCCCCAGTGGGTGTCTTGCCTCCTACTGGGCTTGGGAACAGAGGGTCTGGGGCCCTCTCCAGGCTGTACATACTCTGTGCTGTCCCAGGGGTGCCCAGCCTGCACTCTGCTTCTGTGTCTGAGATCCCAGGTGGGCAGGACTCCTGGGTCCCTGTGCTCTCGGCAGCTCCCTCAGGCTCCTCTCCTTGCTTCTGTTGCCCCAGGTGATGTTCAACCATTGTCTGGAGCTCTGGGGGCACAAAGAAAGGGAGGGAGCACTACGTGACTGCCCAGAATCTCCAACAATCGCCACTCATGGGTTGGCACATGGGTAGGTGTGACTTTCCCATCCCCTGAGATATGGACAAGGAGGGGACATCAGCTGGGTAACAGAGGATCAAAAGCTAGACTATACAAAGTAGTTCTTTCAAAGGTAAGGGAGGCATAGGGTAAGAACTCTGAAGAATGCTCTGCAAGATATTCCTGACTCGCCGGGATACGTGGTCTCCCCTGGGGACAGGAAAAAAGACTCCATTTAGATTCAGGAAATATTTGAGTACCTTCTGTGGCTGTGCTGTATGCTGATGAGTTCACATATATTATTTATCTGCCATGACTAGATGGTATTCAAGGTTGGGTGGGGTAGGTAGTTTCTGCAAAGCCGCTTGCTAGTGGCAGAGCTGGGCTTTTAGCCCTGTCATCTAGCAACAGTTGCACTCTAATAGAAGGGGTTTCAATGACCACCCACATGACCTTTCCAAAGGGGCATCAGGTCTACATCTCAGCTTCAGGCCTGCAGAGGAAAAAGGCATTGGAAGGGTCTGCCCAACCTTTCATTGTGGGTGTGGTCCTTGTCATCTTCTTCCGTTGGTGTGGAGACATTGCCAGAGTGGACTGTGGAGGACACAGAGGACAGACAGATGGTGTCAGCCGTTCCTGCCCCACTCCTTTGCCTTGCCACTCTTTTGGATTGGAGATTGGGGCTTCAGAAAGAAGCGCAAAGGAAATTCCTGCTTTCCAGACACTTCCACTGTGGTGGCAAGGAGACTCCGTGTGTGTGTGTGTGTGTGTGTGTGTGTGTGTGTGTGTGTGTGTATGTGTATAAGCATGAGTACAGGCCCCACTTATGTACCTTTTGGGGAAGGAGAAAAGAGGGAGTCAAAAAGTCCTACAGGTTGGGCATAGGATTTTTTTTTTTGTTTTTTGTTTTTGATGTGGCACTGGGGATCAAATCCAGGCCTTGTGCATGGTAGGCAAGCACACTACCATTGAGTTATACCTCCAGACACAGGCGGGCAAGGTTTTGAGAAAAATCCTCAATGCTCCTGGGGGTCCCCCAGGCTGAGCTGAGTGGGGGGCAGCTTACCTTGAGAAGTGGGTTGGGGATCCGGTCTTCATCCACTTCTGAGGGGAACAGGGAAAGGAGAAGGCCATAAGGCCAGGAAATCCAGGGTCCCAAAGAGTTGACCTCCTAAGTGGAGGGGACTGTGCAACTGCCTGCCTCCTGATCTCTCTAGGAAGTTGGCCCTCACAGCTGCCTCAGGCCCACTCCCTCCTGCTCCCCTCCTGCTCCCCTCCTGCTCTGCTGGCTGGCCTTTCATCCTCTGCCTCTGTCCTGGACTCTGGCCAATCTGTATCTCCATCCTTGCCCCTTTCCTTGAGGTCTCTGAAGGCAGAATCCGGTGTCTTTCTGCTTTCTTTCTCCCTCTGAAGTATCCACTTCTCTTTCTCCTTCCACCCATTCCCCCATCCCATGGCCTGAGCCCTGCACAGGAGAGACCACTGATGGAGAACAGTGCCAGGGTCCAGGCAGGTACAGTCATTTGGTGTATTTGCGGGGAAGCTGGAGACCCATCCTGAATTCCAGTCTAGCTAGTTAACCTGACCATCTTTCCTCCATGTCCCTGTCGAGCTCCCTTGACATTCTCGGAGACTTTGTTCATTTCCCAGACTCTGATTGGGACAATGGTGACCAGAATCCCAGCTGCTCCCTGAGCTGTTTCTAACCTTCCCTTTCCCTTGGGGGCCATGAAGCTAGCTGATGGAGGCGGTCCCTCCCCCTCACAGCTGTCCCTGCCTCTGAGGGAGGGGGCAGCAGCATCTCAGTTGCTGGAGAAACCTGGAAGGCTGTTGCTGCAGCAACCAGCACTCAGTTGACCATCCCAATTCCTCAGGGACTGAGGAACCTGGTCCCCTCCTCTTATTAGCACTGTTCCATTTTCCCAAGAGCAAAAGCTAATTCAGGTAGCTGCCACTTCCCTGGTTTTTTTTTTTTTTTTTT